AAGTGTGCTCCATCCCTGGCTGATGCGCCGCGGTTGCCGCGGTTTAGACACCGCAGATTTCCCCTCAACCCTTTCTCTCTTTGTCTGTATTGCTCTGCTGACCGGCGACCGCCGCAGAGCCGAGGTGCATCGTGGCTGCCTCCACGGGCTTGATGGGCGTAGTTGTTGGTGGGGTGCTCACTGCGCCCCAGCTGCGCCTCCACGGCCTGACAGGGGCCGCAGGCCTCGTGGGCTTTGCCCAGTCCCTGCGGCCTGCATGCAAAGGAGTGCAGCATGTTTTTTTAGGGTATGCCAGCTCTCCATGCCCAAACCGCCCGTCGTGTGCCGGCTATCCAAACTTTAGACTGAGGCATGTGGTCGCAAGAACCTTCTACCAGGCAGAAGAAGCGGGAGATGGGCAGGCCTTCGTGTCAGGCTGGGTGAGTGCCTCCAACATTGTCGGCATCGCAGCGGCTGCCTTCGTGACCTCCTTTGTGGACTGCACGGTTTACACCAACCTCGGCTTCTTGTGTGGCGGGGGCTTCTTGCTGTACGCCGGCCTGATCCTCCTGCTAACCTGCAGCAGTGCACTGCAGGGTCGGAGGAACCGGAGGATGCAGAAGCTGCACCAGGAGTCTGCAGAGTCCGAGGCCTCGACACCCAAGGAGGCGGAGGACCTCGAGGCTGCGATCTCCACTCAAGGCACTTCGCAAGTGTTGCCTCCGCCAAGGTTGCCAGCGGTACCAGCCTCAAGCCAAAATTCATCAAGGTTTTCGTGGATCTCGTGGCAGTTCGCAAAGGTTTGCTTCCTCATCTTCACGATGGCCATCGCCAGGGAGGCTCAGAAGTTCTTGATTCCCTTGATTGGCGCCGAGAATGAGATCTCCACGAGCTTCGTGGGCAACGTGGCCTTCATGTCGCAGATGGAGTCTTTGGTCGCTGCGCCCTTGGGTGGTTGGTTGATGGAATGCCTTGGTATCCTTCCGCTGGTCTTGGTCTCCGTGCTGCTTTCCGCTGTCGGAATTCAGGTTCTCTGCATGCCGGGGATGGGCTTCTATGTGCAGGGGGCCAGTCTCCT